GGGGCTCTCCCGGGCTTCGCCTTGAAGCGTGTGGCTGCGTAGCCGGAGTGCAGAGCCGTGCCGTGTCTGCAGCAGAAGGCACGTTCCTGGTGACAACCGAGGTGTTCTTTTGCGTTGCAGAAAGGCCATGTTCAGCTCTAGCGCGAAGATTGTGAAGCCTAATGGCGAGAAGCCGGATGAGTTCGAGTCTGGTATATCCCAGGTACGTGTCTTTTCCTTCTGGTGTTTGGTAGCCGGCTGCAAGTTACGGAGATGGTGTTGTGACAGTTGTCTAGAGCTTAAACTTCGAGGGCGATGCTGTCTGAACGTGTACTTTTTCCGAGTTTTACTTGGGAACTGGGGCAGCCAGCCTGTGTTCCCACCAACTGAACTTGTTGCATCTCTCAGTGTGACTTATAGGAAGTTAAATCTTTGATATTGTCTGTGGTAGAAGGTGTAGAGCTGCTCTCTGGCACTGTGGATAGAGTTTGGTCTCAAGGGTTCTTTGGAATTGAACCGTATGTAATGGATTATTCTTATTAAACTTCACTTTTCTAGGCTCTGCTGGAGTTGGAAATGAACTCTGACTTAAAGGCTCAGCTGCGGGAGTTGAACATCACAGCAGCTAAGGTAGGTTAGACCTTCTCCACAAAGAATTGCTTGGTGACTCGCTGTTTGATTTTTGTGAATGTTAATGTAGTAGGTGAATGGTGTCTTCAGCTGTTTCTTATGGCCTGTGGTTGCTTTACCATATGCTGTTGTGGTTTATCTCCTGATATTTGCTGTTAACATGGAGGATTTTGTAATAGTTGCGTCTTTAGGAACTGCTCTGAAAAGTCATTGTAAAAACTCAGGTAGCAGTTTGGTGTTTTAAAAATGATAGTTCTGCTGTCTGCAAACCGGGCTTCAGGTCTGAAACTGGCTTTTTGTGTGGATATTGGCTGGCAATGTAGGCATTGCAGAATCTTTGTCAGGCACGTAAACTGGAATACTCTTTTTGTAAAATCAGTTTGTTGTAAAGCCTCTTTTATGTACCGAGTAATAGATGAGAGGTGGATTGAGGTAATAGACTGACTTGATCACACAGCTTAGCCTGTTTGTAAATTTTCGTTTCCATTTATAAAGTCAACTGAAACATTAAGGAAGAAAAAAATTAGTGTTAGAATTTGTCAGCCTTGGAGACTGGATGGAACTTCTGAAGCTGGTTGCTGCAACCAAAAACTTAAGTAGGTTGCTTTCTGGTTCTTGCCCAGGCCCACCAATACAGACACAGATGCGTGACTGCTTAGAGTTAGGTTGAAGAGTCTGGGAATGCAGAAGTCTGCTTGGTATATGAGTTCAGGGGCCTTCAGAAGAACTGCTTTGCTGCTGAAGTACAGCAATGCGTACTGTCCTCAATGAGGAGGTTTTTAAAATGTCTTTGTTGTTTACTGAGCTACTTGGTTTTTATTTGTGAGAAATCTTATGTGAATTTTGAGTTAGTTCATGTGGGAATGTAGCTGGTAAAAAAATTCAGCTTTCTGCTCTGTTGGAGAACGAGGATGACTCTGCAGTTAGGTTTATGGGAGAAGCGCCTTGTAAGCCGATGCAGACTTCTTTGGTTTTGATCAACTGTTGGAGAAGCAAACTGGGGAAAGAGTAATCCATGTTGGTGTGATGTAAACCTGCTGGCATTTGGAGGAGAAGAAAATGTTTTGTTCGAGTAGTGATGCAGGCCTTGGCAAGTAGTGGACAGAAGATGATTTCCATGAAGTAGTAGCTTGAAAATAAGAGACTTATCTAGAGTCTGCATTAGAGGCAAATAATTTTTGAAAGTTTGTATCAGCATATAGGTACCACTGCAGATGTGATGATAAGCTTTCAGTATAGTTAGGATTCTAGCATCTGAGTCCCATCCTGCAGAAAGAATGGGCATTGCTATTCAGAGGATGTCACTCTGAAAGCAGTGGTGGGATTTATCGCCCAATCACTTCTTTACAGCAAAACAAGTGTTCTGACAGGATTTTCTGTTTAATGCTTGCTCTTAAATACATTAAAACAGGTACTGCTCTCTGCTCTTTTTTCCCCCCCAAGTTCTAAGCAAGACTATCGAATATCTGTGTTCAGAGGATTCATGATCAAAGCAACCATTGCTTCTTGACCTCTAGATAATGTTTACTTTCTACTTGTTTCAGGAAATTGAAGTGGGTGGTGGCAGAAAAGCCATCATTATCTTTGTACCAGTTCCTCAGCTGAAATCCTTCCAGAAGATTCAGGTGCGGCTAGTTCGTGAGCTGGAGAAGAAATTCAGTGGAAAGCATGTGGTGTTCATTGCTCAGGTAAAATACTTAGAATTGTAAAAATGTTGATTTGAAGGGATCCCTGGAGATCATTAGTCCAGCCTCACGCATGAAGTGGGACTATTGCCAACATTAGATCAGGTCAGCCATGGTTTTGTCTATCTGGGCCTTGGAAACATCTAAGGATAGAAGTTCCACAGCCTCTCTGGATAATCTGTTCCAGTGCTGCACTACCCTTCTTGTCTTGCCTGTTCAAGGTAACAATTAACACGTATTTTTGTACTAGCAGGAAATGTAATGAATGTCCTTCTGTGGATGTAAACTAAAATGATTTCAGCTAGCAGCCAAGGCTATGTAAATTTGGTGAGATGCAAGGCTTTTTGGAGGATGATATAACTTTCTTGTTCTGGTCTCTTTTACTCCTTCAGAAGTTTGAGAAGCAAGGCTTGAAAGTAAAAGGGAGCAAATATTAATATTGGAGCACAAATCTTATGAGGAGCATCTGAGGGAGCTGGGGCTGTTTAGTCTGGAGAAAAAGAGGCTGAGGGGAGACCTTATCGCTCTCTACAACTACCTGAAGGGGGGTTGTAGTGACATGGGTGCTGGTCTCTTCTGTCAGGTGGCTGGAGATTGGACAAGAGGAAATGGCCTCAAGTTGCAGCAAGGGAGATTTAGGTTGGTTATTAGGAAAAATTTCTTTACTGAGAGGGTTGTCAAACATTGGCATAAGCTGCCCAGAGAAGTGGTTGAGTCACCATCCCTGGAGGTATTCAAAAAGTGTGTAGACAAGGTACTCCATAACATGGTTTAGTGGGCATGGATGATGGTTGGACTTGATCTTGAAGGTCTCTTCCAACCCAAATGATTCTATACTACACTTACATAATCTAAGCACTTAACATTCAAGTTAATAGGAGAGGAAGGAAAAAATCTGACTCAAGTTCTGAATTTATGGAAGGAGCTAAGCTGTGAAAAGGTGGTAGAGGGCTTTCTGGGCAGTACTAATGGGTGGACAAAATCTGGAGATCTGTCTGCAGAGTGGACAGTTAATTGTTACACTGAAGCTCTTTTTAGCAAAAATTTTTCATAATGTAACTTTAAGAGCCAGAGCACCTTACCCTGAATCTTTACGTGGCCAAGAAGACTTCTTTTAATGAAGTGCTTCTTGCTCACTTTAAGTGCTTGAGAATTCCCTGTCAGTTTCGTAATCCATATTTTGGAAGGGAAAGTGTGCAGTTCTGCTGTAGGTGAAATGTTACTTTTGAATATGATGTGACCCAATTTGGATTATAGTAACCTGATCTTGAATACAGTCACAGAGAAGCTGTGATATGTTCATAGAAAATGCTGCAGGTGGCTACAACTGCATCTAAAACTTGATGTTTTAAAACATTTTCTACTTCCTTATCTGCAAGGGTAGATAAGTTTTACTCATCCCCACTGGTATATATACCTTTAGGTGCTGGTTTTGGAACAGATTACAAAGCCAGGGTTTGATCTGCATTGTGTAATACATCTTGCTATTCAAACTAGCATTTCGATCTCAGATGTCACCTAGCTGTCTGTGGCACTGAGATAGCTTACTACTCTGCTTTGCACCAGAGGCTCACTCTAACAAATTGTAAAATTCTTTAAGATTTCTGTTCAGATTGCTGATACAACATGGTAAAATACTCTGGTTATATTCATAGTGGAGGGGGGGATGGAATACAAATCTTTTATTTCAGTGCACTGAATACAGGATTGGTAGATGAGAAATAAAGCAATACCAGTACTTCAGCTTCTGTGAGTAATAGAGTCTAATGCTAGTGTAGCTTTGGGCATACCTAAGTCTC